AAAGTCAAAATTGTGGAGTGATGGTTAAAGCTCTAACTTCAAGCTTTTCTAGTATCAAAGATAAGAATCCTATTTCAAGTAACTTGACATACTATAGAATCTTAAAAAATATAATTGAATTGGACTACACATCAGAGCGAAGTGTTGTTTTATTTAAATGTGATTGTGTTTCTAAAGGAAAAAGATTGAAGGAGGACAAGGATGGCTTCTTCTTGACTAATTTCGATAAAATTAAACAACATCAAGAACCTTTTGTGCTTGCTTCTCAAGTTCAACAAGTTTTTAATGTGGAATATCCTATTGATCCTACATGGTATATTGTTGTTGCAACATCACCAAGAAATGATATTAATAACATTCACATAGAAATGGATGTTGATGACTACTTGCAAAGTGTGACATCTACTCAACAGTATTTTATTGATGATGAAGTTCAGTAGACTAGAGATGAAGTTGATGACATTCTATTAGAGTAATTGATTTATGTACTTTTTATTTGTAATGTTAAACCATTTTTTTTACTTATATCATTAGATCCTTATATCAATCTAATTACTATGAAACATTTTGTGATTTGATGTGTTTCTTATATGTGTTTATCTAAAGGTTGCATTTAGTTTTTATGTAGTGAACCTTGCAATTTTTTTAATATATTGTATACTTTCTTTTTCTACATAGATTATGTGAGCAACATGGGTGATAAATAGCATTGTTTATCTTCTATTAAACTCTCTCACGTATATGTTTTTTTAATGATTTTTAAGAAATGACATCACACACCAGAACACATGTTAAAAATACAAGATGTAGAGAATAAACTAAAGTTGAAATAGATGTTCCAACAAATACCATTGAAAATTATGTTGCAGGTATGCCTCTTATTTATGATATTATAAAAACTTTATTTGCTTATTTTACATTTACATTTATCTTACTTACAAGACTTTAATTTTAATATATTTTTTTTCATAGTAGGTACAAGCAATGAGGAGCAAAAATGAAAAAGAGGTCCAACCTATATGTGTAGTATTTGGGGATATCATGCTACCCAACATGGTGGAGAACGACTTGTTGTTAGTATTAACAAATATGGTCAACCTATTGGACATAATAAATCATTATTTGTTGAGTTTTTAGGAACTATTACTCGAAATGGGAAATATGCACCTATTGATATCAGAAGTTGGGATCAAATGCCAAAGTCTTTAAAGAAAAATATGTTAGAAGTTGTTCAGGTATTTATCTTCATAATATGTCTACTTGTTTTGTTTGATTTTAGTTACATACATAAAATAGCAAAATTCTTTGGATATAACAATAAATATATTATATTTTTCAGGAGAAATTTGAGATAACTCGTGGTAGTGATGTATGGGTTCTTCAATCAATTGGGAAGAAATGGAGGAATTCGAAAGCTGACGTTAAATCTCGATATTATGATCCAAATATGCCTACTGAATTACAACTATGTAATGTGCCAAAAAGGATACTCAAGGATCAATGGAAAAATCTTATATCATATAGGAATTCAGAAGAATCAATGATATATTATCATAACTTGTAAATTTTAAAGGGTTATTCATGTTATATTTTTTTATTAATTCGTATTTGTGTTTAGTGTATAAGTGAACAAAATAAAAAGAGTAGGTCAAAAAAGAGTTTGATGCATATAACTGGAAAAAGGAGTTTCGGTCAAGCGCGTGAAGATCAGGTAAATTTTTAAGGATATACATTTTTATGTCAGTTTGTGTTATACTTAAATTTTGAAGTTAATTATTCTTTTATTTTAATTAACTTTTATATTATTTATTAATTTTTTTAGGAGAAAAGCATAGATCACTCGCCGACGAGAGTTGAAATGTTTGAAAGGTGTTACACAAAAGGAATTCCTAATAGTATTGAGGCTTCTGAAGCTTTGGTAAGTACTTATATTAAACTATTTCATAAATTAGTTATAAAGTATATAAAAATTTACATGAAAAAGTTAATATTCACTATATTTAGGAAAAAATGAAGGAAATAAGAAGTCAAACATCTCAAATAGAAGATGTTGGAAGAGATGATATTTTCTCAAAGGTTCTTGAAAATGACAAGGTCGGAAGAGTTCGCATGTATGGATTTGGTGTAACTCCATATGTTGCATGGGGAGAAATGCCAAATCGAAGTAGTGCTTATCAATTAATAGAAGGTTACAAGGAAGCCAAAAAAAAAATGGAAAAGAAAGTTCAAGAACAGGGTGAGGTAATTGCTAAAATGAAGATGGATATGCAAAATACACAACAAGCTACTAATAACACCCCATTAAGAGCTACTCAATATTCTCAAAATGGTGATGTACACTCTTTCAATAATAATGCTCATATTCAAGTAAGCAAACTATTTACTTATGAACTTATAGAGCCATATTTTAGTCTTTCAAATTTTGTTACAAACTTTTGTTAGATCTTATAAACTTCATATATATAGGTTGGAACTAAAGTTGCAGTCAAAGGTGTTGTTGATTCTACTAAAACTGTGGAAATAGGATATATTTAAAGTATGGATCCTACACATAGGGTTGGTAACTATCCATTAGGCCAAAATTGGTGTTCAATTCATATAAACATTCATGTGAATTGGGAAGAACACTTGATTAGACCGTACAGTACTTTAACAACAATTGGACAGGCAATTGGAACTTATGTTGCATGGCCTCAAGCTTTAGTAAGTATTTTTTTTTTTTATTTTTAAATAATATTAAAGTTTTAATTAATTAATCAAATTACTTATATTTATGTAATTAATTTTATTCAGGTTGTTCGTGAAGACGATTGATATATAAGAAGAATTATAAATTTCTGAAGAGTCTACTTGGATTTGAACAGTCTTACATATACTATATTTTATGTTTACATGTTGATAGAATTTGGTTATATGGTTTGACTTTGGCAACCATAGGAGCATATATTTTCCTAGAAGTTATTTTACTGTTTTAGATGCATTTTTGATGTTTTTGTCCATACTGATTACTCTTGTTAGAAGAACTTTGTAGTTTCCTTATCCATACTGATTACTCTTGTCAAAAGTACTTTGTAGTTTCCTTATTAAAAACATGCCTAGGATGATGATTATATTGAAAAGAGGTTGCCCTCCATTGTTTTGAATACCACTTTTGGTTTGATTTACATATACATGTAGTCTCAATTCAACTTTTGAATTTGTATAATCAGTTTTTTCCAATTCCATATTTAGTACATCAATTTTTTTATACTTCATTCAATGTTATTTGTAAAATACGAAATACACCGCTCTCTTTCTTTTTATGGAATTGCCGTTGAATTCCTCTTGTGAAATTACTGTTGAATTGCTTATGCAATTTCCTCAATTTCCTTACAGGTTTTTGTAGCTGGCAATTTTCATGCGACATTTCATGGATCAATGCTCAAATGACAGTTTCGTCATGTCGTATTTTGTTTTTGTACTGTAGCAATTATTGTATCTGTAGATTCGATTGAATCCCAATTTTGGCAATATAACAAGCACTGAAATTGGGAAACTTAGAATTGCTTAGATTTTAAAAAGTGGGATTTTGTTGAACTGAGGTTGAAAACTTGTGCTAAATTAGAAATTACAAATTTTAGCCAGATCTTGGAGGATTTACTTTTTTTGAGTTTTAGTTGGATGTAGGTAATGAATCATTCATTATTAGTTTTATTTGTTTTTCTTTATTTTTGTGATATGCTAGCGATGCCAATTAATAAGAAATGTTGTATAGTCGGGCATATTGCTGAGTTCATTTTTTCTATTTTTTATTTTTATTGATATGCCAACCCAAATAGTTGTGATAATGTAATGAGGAGTTACTGACAATTCAAAGATAAAGATGGAATTGCTTTTATTAATTGTCAAACATGTTAGGCTATCTGCTCTTTGTTGTATTCTATTTAGCTTGACTTCATTGGTTTTTAACACCAATGGAAACTCGTAGAACGTGCAAAATAATTCGTAGCATCTACTATGCATTACTTGCAGTCAATACAGTCTTTCTGGTGGCATTTTTGGCTTCATGATTTCTTTTGCTTACCCAGGACCATAATCTTCCATATAGGTTATTTAAACTTTTCCTATGTTCAAATGGGAAGTTAAGTTGATTTTAAACCCAAATATGCTATCACTTTGATTTTTATTTTGGCTATGAATATGTGCATTTCATCATGTTCTGAGTTGCCCTATGGATGTTTGGTGTTTATTATGCAAATTTTAGTAATAATATAAACTAAAGTTGAGAAAGAGCCCCAATTGTTTGTGATGGGGTGCAATGTAGAAACAGACCCTTGCAAACTTTATTTTTGTTTGAAAGATAATGCTTTGCTTTGCGTTATATATTTCCAATTTTGGACTTAAACATTATAGGTTGTAGCATGTGGAATTTGTTGTGGAATAATGATTCACTCCACAAAGATGCCCTCTCTTAACAATGGGATATTTTTTATATCCATGTTTGCAGTTGATGTGAATGAATGCACACTCTCTTTTAGGCTTTTTCTGCTGCAGACACGAGAATGAACAAATCCTGATTTTTTTTTGTTTAAAAACCTTTTATTCTTTTACATTCAAAGTTGTTTTATGTTCTCTTGTTGCATTCTGAATATAATTGTATCAATTTTCAGATTTTATCTAAATTTGAGAAGTTATCATAATCTTAATATCTTTTCATTGTCTAAAAGTATCTGGATTCAACGAAGTCCTCTCAATGAAAAGTTTGCTTGAAATTTTAAAATTGTTTTAAACTATATCTGAATTGTTTTGTATTGGTGGAAAGGTATCTCTTTTCCTATGACTCTATGATACTATTGCAGTTATGCTGTAAATTTGAACTTGATTTTGTTTCAGAGCTTGTATTCTTTTAAAAGTTTTAATTCATAATATAGAGCTAGGGATCTCTGGGAATATTTTTTATGAGAATCCTTTCTTTATTTTGGTTCAGAATATAGAACGTGATTTTTTACTAATATCTCTTTTCTGTCTATCTATTTTTGTAGCGAAAAGGTTCACTTCAACATTTAGGTGGACTAGAAAGATTTGCAAATCATTTATTACGTATGAGTACGATACTGAAGTTAAGTGTATTTTTATATTTTATCTTGAAAAATGTTAACAAACCTCGTAGACTCAGTTGTAATGTATACCTCAAAATTTAGTTTTTTATTTTATTTATTTTAATATTCTTAACGGCTGTTTAAGATCACATTTATTTTATTTTATAGAGTAAAATATATTTGAGATCGAAGGGGCCGAGGAGGTATGTCTGATGGATTTGCTGTAGAAGTATGGTCATTTTGCATGACAGCTTGGGCTATTTTTGTCCTTTCTTGTAATTACTTTTCTTTAAATTCATATATAGGTATATTATTGTCTCTTTGGAGACATTCAATAAAATTGGAATGATATAGAGAAGATTAGCATGGCCCCTGCGCAAGGATGACATACATAAATCGAGAAATGATCCAAATTTTTGTGGGTATCTGAACCTTATACTTCATTAAGCGTATTTACAACAATTTATGCTAGGTATAATGTTATAAATGTTTGCAAAATTGAGGTCTGCCATGGAGATTGATAACCTGACGTTTGTGCCAGTTAGTGATCCAGAGATGGGTTTTGAGAAGATTGTAAAAATAGCTCATACTCGTGGGTATGTAAGCAACAAGATGTCATATTCATGATGAGCTTGAACGTAAGCGATCAGTTGAGCAAACGGAATGCTTCCTTAGAGTCATCACCTCCATACCTGGAATAGATATCCATGACGCAAATGCGCTTGCAGGTGCGATGGTTCTATTGAGGAAATTTCTAATGCTTCCAAGGAATTTATTTTGGAAAATACTTACCTTTATGTGGATAAATCTCAAAGGATTTATAGATTTTTTAGAGATCCAAACTATTATCTCGGTCCAAAAATCAATTAGCTGCAAAGTTTAGAGCTTCATTCATGTGTAGATCTGCTGTTAATTCCATTTAGAAACACTATCATTTGATTTTTTTCTAGCTTCTAGTAATGTAATGCACTTCGAGGGAATATATATATATATATATATATAGTACTCTCTATAGTTTATACAGATTCACCTACAACATTCTCTGTGAGCACATACCTGAATCAAAATTTGGACATTGTTTGTTGAAAACACTGGACAGCTTGTTCAATTTGATGTGTTCATATTACGCAATCATGAGTATTAATCCAAAAAGATAGTTAAATTGGTAATTTGATTTCATTTAATCTGTTGTTTTCTTCAAATACTTGGGTTTCTTCAAATACTTTTTAACTTCTCTTTTCTAAACCCTTTTATTTTTTTTTTCCTGCATGCAATGCTCTTACAACCTTGTATATTCTCTATAATATTGGTATACAAATAAAATAATAGTTCGAGCTTGCAATTTCAAACTTGAATTCTTGCATAACCCTTTTTTTCCATGCCTAAATGGTTTAATAAAGGTCAGTTTCGATTTCTAATTCATTTTATGAATTTGGATGTTCATATGTTTTCAACAAAAGTGTAGTTTATCCACCTATCTATATTACATGGTTAAACTAGGTTAAGGATTTAAAGAATATTTGTTTAAAGTTTGAAATATTTCTACTTATCTTTTTCATTTTTCTGGTCTTTGCTGTTCCAAATATTATGAGCAACACTTTGTTGGCATCTTCATCTTGTATGGTGGTGGATGCTACATAGATGATGCACCACAAATTGTACAATTCCTTATAGTTTGACTGGCTAAACCATTTTGAGTATTCATCTTTTGTTTCTTTTCTGTCTGAAGCTTGATTCCTTTCACAGTATATTGATTATCCAACTTCAAACAATGCATCGAAGAACATTAGTAAATGTTTTCTTATTGGCTGGTGTAGCATTCTGTGGATTACAAGTATTTGAGTTGAGGAACAGATTAAAAAGTATTTCTGAAAACTATGTTGCAGCACTTCACAAGAAAAATGTTTATGTATGTTAATAATACTCTAATAATTTTATCAGTTCTTTTTTCTACTTTCGGAGGCAATTTCTTTCAATTATCTTGTTATGCCTGCAAGTATGTATATGTTGATTTGATATTTCTTTTTACATTTTCATTTTATTTCTCGAGTTTAAGGCACCTATAAAGTCAATCTCATTTGCAGTGATATTATAATAATTGATCCTCAATTTTCTTATAAAGTCCCTAATCACCATCATTAGCTTTCTTAAAGCAGCTTGGGGCTTTTATTTCCAATGCATCCTTATTAAGAGCAATAGTTTTGTGTTAGTTTTAAGGAAGTGCTACATTTAAATCATATTTTTGTTCGTAATGATAAACTAGAGACTCTTCCAATGGACATCCTTGAATGTTAAAAATGTAATTTTGAATAAAACTATATCTTTTAATATTCTTAATATATGTTTGAAACATTCTTGTTGCATTACTGCATGTCCATCTCATCTAGTGTGAAACATGATTTTGTTCAACCTTTCTTAGTCGTGTGGATAAATGAATTCAATATTTTATTCATCACTGTAAATTTTGTTACTATCAGGCACTTAAAATGGTATTGGAGAGGGAGAATTGGATGAAGTTATCTCCAGAGACTATGCAACTAATCAGTTTGCCTGGACTCATTGGTGATGGCGCTCCCTTGATTGTTCCTTCTTCAAGAAATTCTTTAGTGGGCTCTGCAATTCAGTCCAAGAAAAGTTCTGATGTGGTTTACAATGGGAAGCAGAAGGATGGGTTTTATTATTGGCTAAGTATTGAAAACCTATTTTCTTCCTTGTTAGTTGAGATGGTTGCGAGGCTGGAACTTGTTATTGAGGTAGAAGAACTTGGAAGGGACACGAGGTGCACCGGATAGTTTACTGATGAGGGTACAAAAATCACATCATATAGTGTCACCAGGGGAGAGACCTAAGACTTGGTTGATATCGTGTAAAGAAATTGCCATGGTGATAAGGACTATTTTTTCAGTTTTTCATGTAATGTTTGGTGAATGCATTTATTGTAATAGATTGATTATGTACATATATGAAGATTGAAGTGGGACTTTTATTATATTTAAACTTACTTGCACATGTATCATCCAGGATGATCAGGTGTATCGGACGGGATGATGTCAATAAAAGCATCATCTAGGACGACAATGTATCAGCCAGGATGATCAAGATGATTGTTGCAGAGGAAAATCATATCATCCAGGATGATAATATATCGTCCAGGATGATGAAGATCAGAATAGCCCAAACATTCAACAGATGGAGTTTTTGAAGCAGGATGAGCACATCGTCCAGGACGATATAAATATCGTCCAGACCAATGTGCAAAAATTTTAAATCAAAGGAAGGATAGAGATGATTAGAGAAGTCCCAAAAACACTAAAATCAACTAAAAACAATAACGATAAAATATGAAAAAGCATAAAAACTAGCAAAGAATTTTTTTTAATCAAGGCATTAACATGATATAGTCTCCATGTAATTGATTTTAAAAATTTATAAGTTAATGAGTTAACAACATCTAAAATCCAAAAAATGATAAAATATCCGATAATGTTAACCCTAAGTTCGGACTTCTTTTTGGGCAAAATCGTCTTTTGAAATAAAAAAACCTAACTCAGAAAAATCAATTGGACAAGAAAAAGAGATGCAATCAAGATTTGTTTTTAGAAAAATATTTTATAGAATAATGTATCAAAGTAGTTTATTACAATCACGAAATTCGAAATCAAGTCCTTGAAAATCTCAAGTGATACATGAATTATTCTAAGTTTTAAGAGTTGAAAGAAAAGAGAGCTTGCTTTTGATGGGCTCATTTTATGCCTCTTGTCTATTGAATGACGCACTTTGTTCATCTTTTATAATTTTTTTCATACACTTTGTGTATACTTTTCAATTTGGTGTCATTGCGCATTTTTTTGTTTTGGCATCATTGGCCAGTTTTTTTTGTTTTGCAAGCTAGATTTTTTCCAAAAACTCTTAAATATTCTTAGTTGTGAGTATATCTTCTAGATATTAGAGAAAAAAAACTCACTCCCTAACATAGAGAAGAACAAACCATAAAATAGAGTAAAAACCCATATGAGAGATGCATTGACAGGATAACGAGAAATCTTAAAGTAACATAAAAACTTTGATTATTATAACTATAAGCTAAATTACTATAGTAAGGTAAAAAAGATTTCAATTGCAAAATCGAGTCGTTAATTTGAGATAAACTTTTGGTTAGAAAAAAAAATTTTACCACCAAAATAGGTTAGAGAAAGAGACACAATCAACGGTATTTTTACCCTTTAGCAGATTAAGAGATGTAAAACATTAACTACAAATTTTCAAAATAAAAAATAAGGTATATGATATCAATTCAGCGATGGTTTGAAAAGGAAAAACAAAGCAAGGCATACGAAAAAATAAAGTACCAAAAATAAAACAAAAACAACCAAAAACATAAACAACAAAAATTAGAAAAATTCAGCAAAATAATCAGCAGATAAAAAATCAATAGAAATCAAGTTCATGCATTAATGTCAATCACACCCAATCTGGTCCTTAAAGAGCTTAAAGTGTCAAAGGCTAGTGGTTTAGTAAGTTTGTCAGCCAGTTGATTCTCAGTTTCCACATGGTGTAACTCAATGTCTCCCTTAGTCACATGATCTCTAATAAAGTGATGGCTAATATCAATGTGCTTAGTCCTTGAATGTTGGATAGGATTCTTAGAAATATAGATTACACTAGTGTTGTCACAAAGAATTGAGTTGGTGCCTACTAGTAATCCTAAATCCAGTACCTGCTGTTTTAACTAAAGGACTTGGGCCACACAACTTCCTAAAGTAATGTACTCAGCTTCAGTAGTGGAAAGTGCAACAGATTTTTTCTTTCTACTAGACTAGGAGACTAAGGACTGTCATATGAATTGGCAAGTTCCAGAAGTTCTTTTTCCATTCACCTTACATCCTGCAAAATCAGAATCAGAATATCCAATAATCTCCAAAGAAGTGCTGTGCCTAGGGTACTAGATTCCTAAATTTTGGGTCGCTAAAAGGTATCTAAAAATTTTCTTAATGCAGTCAGGTGGGATTCCATAGGGTCAGCTTGAAATCTAGCATAAAGATAAACACTAAACATTATATCAGGTTGGCTAGCAGTCAGGTAAAGTAAAGATCTAATCATCCCCCTGTACTTTTTCTGATCAACAGACTTACCACTTGGATTCTTATCCAACTGAACACTAGAGGTCATGGGAGTATTAATTGGCTTGGCTTTATCTATCTCATACTTCTTCAAAATATTCTTTATATATTTTGATTGATTTAGAAAGATTCCATCATCTAATTGTCTTATGCTAAATCCGAAAAAGTAAGACAACTCTCCCATCATACTCATCTCAAAGTTTGTACTCATTATTTTAGAAAAATCATCACATAATCTCTTATCAGAAGATCCAAAAAGTATATCATCCACATAAATTTGAATAATGAGTAAATCATC